AACTAAAACTGAACCATCTTTTGAAATTTACACATCTTTGAATTCTGCAATGCTGTTCTCCAGCCAATAAATGAGCCATGAGGTCACGGTTTTCGCCAAAAACCCGATTCACTCGAAAGCGGTGCCAAACAGTCAAGCTTGCAAAAATTTATCATTTGCCCGATAACAAATGCTGGAAATGTAATGAGACTGAAGGTACCTTTTATCACCTTTGGTGGACCTGCCCGAAGATTAAAGCCTTTTGGGAAATGATCTATAATGAAATTAAGAAGGTCCTTAAATGGACCTTTCCTAAAAAACCTGAGGCTTTTCTCCTGGGCATGGTTGGCCAATTGGTGTTAAGGAGGGATAGGACGTTTTTTATGTATGCTACCACAGCAGCAAGGGTTCTTTTAGCAAAGTATTGGAAGACACAAGAACTACCCACGCTGGAAGAATGGCAGACGAAGGTGATCGACTATATGGGACTGGCGGAGATGACTGGCAGAATCCGTGACCAAGGGAAAGAGATGGTGGAAGAAGACTGGAAGAAATTCAAAATATACCTTAAAAACTGTTGTAAAATTGATGAGTGTTAAAATGTCAAGGGATGGGGAAATAGAGAATTGCAGCTGTAATTGATAAGTTAGAGAAGAACTAAAAAGAAAATGAATTGAATAATTAGTTAATTGGGGGAGTTGCTGAAGAAACGCAAAAATAAGGATGCAGAAAGGGGGAGGCATGGGGAAGTCCGGGAAGTAAGGTTTATGAAAAGAGGGTTATGAAATTATACATGTTTAATGTTTGTTTGTTTATGTATTGTATATTGTTTGTGTTTATTTTGTGTTTGGAAAACCAATAAAAATCTTTATAAAAAAAACCAAAAACGAAAGCGGTGCCAAACAACTGCAAATTGCCCCATGCAACGTTTGGCAGTGCAAACCCCACATTTCACAGTAGGCAATAAAATGAGCCCTCGGCGCCCTAACCCCTGGGGTCACAGTTTTCGCCAAAAAGTAATTGTAGGAAAGTATTTGCAGCAATAGCATTAGAGATGAACTACAGCACTTTGTCCAGCATACGCTGGAAGGGAAGGGAAACTTAAGCATTTTATTTCTCCGTCTATGTTTTGCAACCTGTGGCACTCCCAATATTGGTGGACTGCATCACCCATCATCCCTGGCCATTGGATACACAGTGTCGGTCTGCTGGGAATTGGAGTCCAACAACACAGAGGCTCCCCGTTATATACATGCCATTAATAAGCCATATTAATGGAGTTTGTTGCGACATACAAAAAGTGAAAGTTAGTATGTGATGTAAGACCTTACAATCAGGTCACTATGGACTTGAGCCAACATGAAAATGATCTTCCACTCCTGCCCTAAACCATGTGATATTTGGTAATGAGAACAACAACAACAGGGCATTTTTTTCTGAAAAAAACAGGACTTCCGTTTCCCTCATCTGTAGTTTAAATGTAAAAGCAACACTGGATAAAAAGTACATATGCTTTGGAAGGACGTTGCCACGTCTTGCATCAAAAACGTTAAAATATGTTTCTTGTTAGACTGAAATGCATTCTTAGGGGTCCCCTATTAAAAAATGCCCTCACTCTGTCACTTTTAATACCTGCATAGATACAGTGGAACCTCGGATTGTGAACGTGATCCGTGCAGGAGGCACGTTCGCAACCCGCAGTGTTCGCAACCCGCAGTGCCGCATCTGCGCATGCGTGGGTCGCAATTCAGCGTTTCTGCACATGCGCAAAGCGCAATTTAGTGCTTCTGCACAAGCACCGAAACCCGGAAGTAACTCGTTCTGGTACTTCCGGGTTTGGCGCAGTGTACAATCCGAAAACACGTAACCTGAAGCGTCTGTAACCCGAGGTACCACTGTATAACAATTTACCTCTTAACACACTTTCAATCTCCATTCTAACCAATTGGTAAGTATTAGAGCACATCCTTTGCAAGTAGAACATCCTAAGTTTCAAGCCCTAAGTATCCCCAGTTCAAACGATCAGGTGATGTGAAATACCTTTGTCCAAAACCCTGAATAACTGTTGCCAGTAACTATAAGCAGTATTGGGGTCGAATGTGTGTCTTCTTTGGTGTCTTGCTTTTCCAATCTGAAGTTCAATTCTCCACAGTTCCACTCTGTTTGTGATTTATTTATTTTTCAATGCTCTTGTGAAAATTAATCAGCATTTTAATAGAAACATTTGTATGCAATTTGCCTAAGGTACACATTTTTGCAAAGCAATTTCCCCCAAAATAATGCATTGTTTTATATCATTTTCACTAATGTGTACATTTTTTATGTGCGCTTTACCCCAGTACCTGCCTTTTTGTTCACAGTGGACTGGAGAACTGCGCTACAAAATTAGGAGAAGTGCAGATTTTGAAGGACAACTGTTTTCTAGTTCTTGTATGGTTTTGCAACATGTGAGTTAAGCAGGTTCACCTTTAAATGTGAAATGAATCAAACTTCTCTCCAATTCCTGGCTGGGAAAAATAGCCTAATCTGGTATGAAATGTTCCATTTAACATTAGGACCAGGGAAGGCACCTGCGTGCTGCCTTGATGGCTGCGGGAAGAGAATGCTCTGAATAGGCAGAGGACGTTTAGAAGTCAGTGTTAGAAATAAAGGAAAAGGAAATCAGAAATAGAAGTAGCAGGGCAGGGTAAACATCAAGTCACAGCTTTGTGCCCGTGGAACGAAGTGCCAAATTAGAAGGATGGAACAAAGCCATAGGTTGTCAAAGAACAAGGTAGGTTTTGAAACAGGAACAGCTTGAGAAATTAGCTAAGGGAGGATCAAGGCACAGTTAGGAAGCAAGACTGGATAGTTTTCATGAGTCTGATCTAGTCAAAGAACAGTGGTTATATCTGAAGCACATGGCCTCAACAGTTCAATCCTAACCATGTCTGTCAGCAGTTGCAGCCATGGCTCTTTGCAGTAACGGCTGGGTTTTCTTATTTATTCGTGAATGGTGGTCGTGCAAGTAAATAGATCTATTCTGCCTTCTGGCTGGTTTTCTCATTCTAGAGACTATATGCAACTATTCTTGCATATTCTCTGAAACTATTCTCTGAAAGCATAGGCTTTCAGAACCTGTGGCCCTCTAGATGTTGCTAGTCTGCTATTCCCATTGGTCCCAGACATGATGACCAATGGTAGGGGTGATGTGAGTTCAGCAACCTCTGGAGGGTCACACGTTCCCTACTCGTTTTAGCACCTTCACACAATCCTAACAAACCTGAGTGAAGAACACCACTCGATTAGTTCTTCCCTGCTTTATATTGTGTTAATTTAGTGATCTAGTCAGGGTTCAGATTTGCACATTAGCAACCTCAGGGGGTCAGGAAGTGAAGACAACCAGTGATAAAAGATCACTGATTCACAGACTGTAATTGAAACAAATCAGTTGGGTTTGTTGATTTACAATGCTTCATTCAAATCATATTATTATCTAAGACAGCAATTTAGTACTTAGAAAATAATATGGATTAGAAACTGCATAATAGCAGCATAATTGCATTGACAAAGTAATAAAAGCCGTTTGAGTGAGAATTTTGGGCTTGCTGATTCCTATTCTAATGGAAGATATGGTCATATAGTTTAGCAAACAGACTTTCTAAATTTCGCAGCATATCCAAATTTTTAAGTTCCCTATGATACATAGCATTTTAGAATAAAGCTCATAATTAACCATATAGAGCTGGGGGAGAGCAAGTGAAAAAGCGCTGGATAGGCAGCAACTGGGAAAAAGAGAGGAAAAATTATTCCCTGTATACCCGTTAATTGATCTGGGACTAGAACATATTTTTCCACCCTTTATGTCAATGCTCCCATAAGATGCAGCCTACAAATATCCATAATGTAACTGGGGAAAGGAACTGGGATCCTTATTTTCTGGTATTTCTGTATTTAGGTCTTAATCACTTAGAAATAATCCAGCATTTTCTTTCAAACAATTCAACAATGTTTATACTGTAATTCCACATCCATTGTGATGATGTTGGGTATTCTTTATAGCAGCTTAATAGGAAGGGCTTTTTTCCATCTGGAACTAACCAGAACTCAGTTCCGGCACCTCTCAGGTGGGCGCCATTGCCATTCTAAGAGAATGAGGGAGGTGTTCATGGTGAATTCCAGCCCCTCTTTTTCTAGAAAAATAGCACTGTTAATAGGTATGATTTCCCTTTTTCCTTATCATCAGGTTCTAATCACCTCAAGATGCCACAGTTTCACACAACTGTCATTTAGAGTTAGAAAGAGTTTCAGTTTCCACAAAATGGCATAGAGATGTACGTTTCCATCATGATCCATTAGATGACGATTCCTTAGTCCTAGCAGGGTCCAAATTAACCTATGACAGAAAATTGGCTCCTCTTCTATTTCACACAGCTAAAAAATTAACATCACAATTTAGATAGGAGACCTCCTGAATTTAGCCAGGCATCCTGCATATGGAGACATGTTCAGCATTTAGCACTGTTTCAAATCTTAATAAACCTGAGTGAAGAGGATGAATACCAAATGATTCAAAGCCCTAACCCTTTGATTGGCTCCTCATTCCCTTTAGTCCACAAATTAATCAGCGTCTATGCCACATGTTATGTACCCCTAATAGAAACAACTCACATTATCGAGATTATAATGTTCCAGGAATAGGTATGTGGTTAAATGGCTGCATAATTCAATATATAGTTCAGTGAAACAAAATCCTTTTCTGGACTAAATACCCCACTATGCTACTGCCTTAGTACCCTTAGGTTCTCCATTGGATTCTGTTGCACTTCTGTAAGAAAACGATCATACCACATTGGCTTTCACGGTTGGGATGGGGTTGTAGACATGCAGGTCAACAGGTATCGTCTGAAGTTCTTTATGCTCATTATGTATCACTGAATGTCTTCTTAGTCCTTTATCCCCCCCCCCCCACACACACACACTTCCCAGACTCCTGTTATTTAACTCAAATTCTGTTATTTGTTATTTGACTCAAATTCTGTTATTAGCCTGTTATTTGACTCAAATTATTCCCCGGTCTTGCTTACCTATCTTCCAACTCTGGCTCTCTCAGTCCAGATCCTGCAAAATTTTGCCTCCCAGATCCTGATGTTAACAGTGGTCCAGCTCTTCTTTTGCATTCTGGCAGATTCCTGGCTCCTGGCTGCTTTTGTTAGGCTCATCGCGATACTACCAAATTCATTTGGTATGATACACTGCTTCCTTTGGTCAACTGCTTCCTCACCCACTTGTCTCTATGCTATAATATTTTCTATAAATATCTGTGGCAAGTCATTAATCCTGTAAAGACCATTTGTACTATTTATCTGCTTATTTTCGTGAGATGTAGACCTATTCACAACTTATAGGATCTGGCAGGGTTTTTTTTTTTGGTGGGGTGGGAAGGTAGGAGCTTTAAAATATTGTTGTTTTTTTCTTCATCCAAAAGTGGGCTCCTTCAGACATCCTTTTTATTGCACATTGATGATTTGTGCTTATAATGCTACCAGGATGGTTACACATGATCCTGCTTTTAATACTGTTTGTGCCTGCAAAGGTTTGGGGATGGTCACACAGTTTTATTTCAAATTAGTGTATATCACATAAATTCCTGCTGAAATCCTGTAACATTTTATATATTGTTGCAAGGTGGCCCCAGCCCCAGACAGGAACAAAGTGGTAGCATTGGGGAAGCATCACAGAATAAACTAAAGCAGAAGAAATCCACCATTAATGCACAATTATTGTGCCAAGAATATATTGCAGAATGCAACCACAGTAAAACACCAGTCTGGGGAGGCCCAATGACTGACATGTAAGATAGCTCATGTGACCGTATTTTGTGTGGTCTAGTCTTCACGAATTTATATCTCACATAATGAACTGATCCTGTGGGTACTGTTATATGTCATTACATCACAATTCCCTTCATCTTGGCTTAACCTATTTCTGAATCTTTTTAGCTGAGTCAAGTGATACATGGAGTTGCAGATCGACACATAAAAAAGATACTGTGAATTGACCTATGGTTCCTACTTATAATACTACAGACAACAGTATGAATTTGTCACAATTATTCCTACGCAACTTTTAGCATCTATCCAAAATGGAAAGCATGACTACCATTTATGAAAGGACACATCTTTAAACAAAATATTCAGCCTCTGTGTTGTCTACAGATGAATCCCACTGAGAACAACCCAATTGTAATTATATATATGGAATAAAGGAGGCATCAGTGGTTCATACTAGAAAAGCCATATGGCTGAGGATGTAAAACTGAAATTTCCAGCTAAAAATTCCTATAAGATATTTTTATATGACTTCCTGAAGAGTTGCAAACAACTCTTATTTTTTTGAAAGCCTGAGAAATACAATGCTTAGAATCTCTCTACATTCAAGTAAATAGCTCTTTATTTCATTCTGATTTATAGAAATCTACAATTTGCTTAAAGCCAGAGAGAGAAAATAATTGTCAGGGGAAGACATCTAAACGTGCATGACTGTGCTATTGGATTCCAGTTTTTAATCTGAACACGGACTAAGTTTGATATCAATTTTATCAATGAGCAGGCCAAAAAAAATTGTTAAACTTCACAGTAACTATATTGTTGAACTGCTGTTAAGGATCTCCCTCTATATGTGAAAAAGAATGCACTCTAAAGCTGTAAATAGTATAATAGGTTCTCTCTTATCAGCGCTACAAGCTGTCTTGGAATTCAGCCATTAAAGACTCTATTTCCTTAAACCTGTCTGTTATACTCTCAATGCACTCTCCAGCCTTGAAAGCTTTTCCATCAATTATAATACAGTCCTCTTGGGCGTTGATTTCCATTGGCCTTTTTTCAGTATACTCCAGGCAGAAGTTAGCTACCTAAAAGGGGGGAAATATTCGTATTCTAAAATTAAATACAATTTTGCAACAGATAATCTTCACCTGATACAGGAATGGAGAGCTACCAGCAGAAGCAGACATACACATGGAACACCAATCTGAATGCATTTGTTTATCTAGTATCAGCTAGTACTGCATTATTATTATTATTATTATTATTATTATTATTATTATTATTTCTTCTTCTAATGCAGATGGGAATTACGACTCTTCTTATCCAGAAGCTCTTCTTGCATTAAAATAGTTGTAATCAACTAGTGCTGGATCAAGGTCATTGGTTCCTAATTTATGTTTTAAGGTAAATTAACCTTCAAATCTCCATACTGTAAAATGTATGGAAGAAAATTGGGTGAGGGCCACAGCTCAGAGCACATTGTTTGCATTCAAAAGATCCCAGGTTCAACTTCCAGTCCTGGGTTGGGCAGACTCCTGTCAATCAGCGGCAGCCACACTGAGCTGGATTGAGAAATGGTCTAATGATATACACCAGCTTCCTATGTACCTAAAAACGTGAGTTCATGTGTACACACCATATGCAAACAGACAACATTAAATCTCTCTCTCTCTCTTTTTAGAAAAGTGGAATGCTATTTTTTAAACCTTTCACAAAACTGTTATGTGAACAGGCTGCAAATACTGATTGATGGATTGTTATACATTCACACTGTTGGATAACCTTATGTGGGTTATTGAAGATCAACAGGGAAAAACGGTTATAATCCCTCCCCTCATTTCATTTTCTGATTCAGCATATTGGATGGATTAATGGCAAGAAAGATAACTGTGAGCTTTGCTGGAAAGTGGTACACAAATGTAACCAAGAAACAATTAGTAAAAAAATTAACTGCAAACTCATACTAAAAGGTTGCTACAGTGGTACCTCGGGTTACATACGCTTCAGGTTACATATGCTTCAGGTTACAGACTCCGCTAACCCAGAAATAGTGCTTCAGGTTAAGAACTTTGCTTCAGGATGAGAACAGAAATCGTGCTCCAGCGGCGCAGCGGCAGCATGAGGCCCCATTAGCTAAAGTGGTGCTTCAGGTTAAGAACAGTTTCAGGTTAAGAACGGACCTCCGGAACGAATTAAGTACTTAACCCGAGGTACCACTGTACTTTCCTGGTTCTGGATAAGAAAGTCATGCAAATTTCAGAACAAAATTCAATGGCATTGTATCATGTTTGATACATACAGAGGCAGATATAGGGCATAGTCGAGGAGGGCACTTTCTCAAAGCCTGGTGCAAGCACTTGTCCAGCTTCAGGAAGGAGGTGTGAGGCTCTGATAGGGTCCTAGAATTGTCTTGCCTCCTTCCAAAAGCTGGGCAAGCACTTACTGGGCTTTGGGATGGAGGTAGGAGGGCTCTAGGACTCTGCCAGAGCCTTGTGTCTCATTCCCAAAGTTGGGCTTAAGCCAGTGCCACCAGGACTGGGAGGAGGGTGTCAAATGTTGGCCTTGCACAGGATAGCATAATACCAAGGTCCACTGCTGGTACAAGTCCTTCTATGACCTACAACATAATTTACATTTTCTGTGCGTTCTTGGAAACAGTCAGAACACTTTGCATGGAGTAGCTTTTGAATGCGTGCACTAGGCTGAAGTTGCTAAAATGCTACATAAATATCTAAATAATTGTAATGTTGCAGGTTTGTTCTCTAGCATGCCTGGAAAATGTTCAGGAATTATATTGCAGCAATAATAACAATAACAACAATAATGATAATGATAATATATTTTATATTTTACCCTTCCTTCCTCCTTCCTTAAAAACAAAGAACTAAAAATTCTCAGAGTGCCATAAGTTCCTCTACCCCTTTAAAAAATATGGAACTTGGCTTGGCAGAGTATTATAGTAGTAGCTGTTTTGCCTGTTTGTATGCAGATATATGCAATGCAAATAAAAACAAGGTTATCAGTGATTGCAGCTTCCCTGGTCTGGGATCCCAGTGATAAATATTTCAAAAATGGTCTTGTTAGATGCATGTACTTCTACTTATTGCAGGGCGTACACTTTTAACTATTTCATTTTCAAACAGTCTTACAATTCCCTAAAATATAACCCTTTAGCGCCTGGTGTGGATGCTTTTTGTAAGTACATTAAAAGATAAGCAAATATTTCAGGTTGTGTTTTTAGCCAAAAATAAGGATTCTACTAAAGTGGTTTTTCCAATCATTAGTAATTAGTAGAGAAACTATGAATAATTTATACCTCTTCTCTCCCATTATTGTTCTCTCCATCCACAAATGATGCCAAAGATGAGTAGGAGGGGGCTGCAACATGCTTGAGAATGTGGTCCAATTCTTTTAGTATCATTTCTGTCTCAGAAACACCTAATAAAAACAGCAATATTAATAATTTAGCTAACATATACATTGTACATTTATGCAATGCTATTTATTGCTCAGTCAACTGCTTGGACTACAAGTGTTAAGTGGAATGGGCAAGCATCCTAATTCTAGATACAAAAAGAAAAGTGTTTTATATGACATTACAGTGGTACCTTGGTTCTCAAACGCTTTGGTTCTCAAACGCCGAAAACCTGGAAGTGTTCCGGTTTTGGAACGCTTTTTGGAAGCCGAACGTCCGATGCAGCTGTCAGCTATTGTTTCCAGGGCACCTGCACCAATAAGAAGCTGCACCTTGGTTTTCAAACATTTCGGAAGTCAAATGGACTTCCGGAACGGATTGAGTTTGGTGCTTTTGTTTTTGCTATTTATTTTTCATTTTCGTTTTTGAGGCTTTTTTGGTTAACTTGTTTTTGTGACTGTGTGGAACCCAGTTCAGCTACTGGTGGATTGATTGTGCGACTGCAGAAATGGATAACCCCCCCCCCTCAAATAATGACTATCATCAGTGCAGGTAGTAAAAAGAATCAATTTTAATTTTTATCATCTACAATGCTGTCTTATTTATTTTATAGTACAGTACATCATAGCTGTCAACTTTTCCCTTTTCTTGCGAGGAATCCTATTCGGAATAAGGGAATTTCCCTTTAAAAAAGGGAAACGTTCACAGCTATGCAGTACATTGATTATTGCTTTCATTTTATGGATCAATGGTCTCGTTAGATTGTAAAATTCATGCTAAATTGCTCTTTTAGGGATTGTTTTTAAAAGTCTGGAACGGATTAATCCATTTCCCATTACTTTCTATGGGAAAGCGTGCTTTGGTTTTGGAACGGACTTCCGGAATGGATTAAGTTTAAGAACCAAGATAGCACCGTACTCCTGTGTAACAAAATGAAGTCAAGTGCTCTCACTGGGGTCAACCTGACTGGCTTCTGGTGGAAACTCCATTTGTACTCATCACTTAACAATTTAAGGATGCAATTCTAACCTCACATACCTGGGAAGTAAGACCCACATAATTCAACAGGGCTAACTTTTGACTAGACATAGTTAGGATGGCCATGTGAAAGACAGATCCTACAACTCAACCAACTGAAGCAAATAGATTAAATGAGTGCATTGGTGCCAAAATAGAGTTAATGAACATTATTCCAACTGTTTCAGTTAAAATAAATTGCAGATAGAAATTACCAGTAATTACAGTCCTATTTATTTGGAAATGTAAACAAAAATAGTAACTTCTTATCATATTTGGCAGACACACAGCATGTAATTTTGGTCTGATATTAAAATAGCAACAAACAGAATGATCTGATTTGTGGTAGAGTTAATCCAAATATAAATTGCACTAACTTGGGCAAAAAAGACAAAATCTTTTGTTGACACAGTGTGAAATGATTGCATACATGATTAAAATGGGTAGAATAATGTACACAAAGTATTGGAGGACAGATAACATCCCAAGCATGAATAAAAATAAATTATGAATGTAAATTTTCTGTAAAATTAATTAATTGCATTTAAGTTACAGATAAAGATTATGGGGGGGGAAGTCCCCCCCCACAAAAAACCCTGAAATCATTTCCAAAACTATTGGGTTCCATCCAACTAACCTTTACTCAGAGTAGACCCACTAAAATTAATGTAATAATAATAATTTATTTATTCCCCACCCATCTGGCTTGGTTTCCCCAGCCACTCTGGGCAGCTCCCAACAGAATATTACAAACATGATAAAACATCAAACGCTAATAACTTCTCTAAACAGGGCTGCCTGCAGATGTCTTCTAAAAGTCAGAGAGTTGTTTATTTCCTTGACATCTGATGGGAGGGTGTTCCACAGGGCAGGCACCACTACCGCAAAGGCCCTCTGCCTTAGTCATGAGATCCAATTATGTACCTATAGCCTCTGTTAGTGCAATGGCACTTCCAGTTTCTCCCTCTATCCTCCATTCCCCCAGAAAGATAAATCTGTTCTGAGGGTTCTCAAAAATACCAGAACAGTTTTGGGAGTTAGGCAGGGGGCTGGAATGGGGTGGAGAGGACAGAGAAGTCCTAGTGGATACACCTTGTGCTGTGCTGGATCATGCCCATACATAGGATTGTGTTGTTAATCTGAATACAACCCTGTGTTTTAATTATTATAATTATAATAGTTAACCTTGTCTTGTTTGATTCTGTCTTTGTATATCTATTTTCCTGATAAAATATTGTCTAATTTGTCATAATCACCACCACCATTTCTTTTAAAAAGATAGAAAGAAGGTTGTATAACAGCTACACTCACTTCTTGCCCTCTCACCAATCCATCTTTCTTGTGTACAGTTTGAATCTCTTTACTTTCCAAACTTTGGTTTCAAGTGAGGTGAATGATAACCATGTTCAGTGTGTTTGGGGTAAACAATATTCTCATTATGATACAATTAGCTTTTGAAATTTTCAGAAGACAACTATATTTGAAGTAAAAGCAAACAAGCCAAATAAATCAATATGAGGACAGAAAATTATTCTTTGTAACTTTACTGGTCGAAATATAAAGTCTCAGTTGTGTTCTTAGAAGCCAGAGTTAATTAAGCATCAAATAAAACCTTACAGTTAGGATTAGATACAATCTAATCCAATTTTCACTGGTGTCATCCTTTAAAGTTACCTTAGGAAAGCTTTAGATGTGTTAGATATCTAGTCAATTTAGTGCATGACACTCAGAAGCTACTGATAGCAGGCTTTACACTGAAAAGGTATTTTTTATGGCTTATTCAGCTGGTACTTATTGTGTTAACCTCTATGCATTATTAGTCACACTAGTTACAAGTGTGTCAAGGTATGGCTTCCATTTACCTAGCAATTAAGAATTGTAGGTTATGTGTTCTTTTCAATGGAGATGTAAAATTCTGTTTCTGGAGATTCACACAAGCTCAATGCTACTTTGATATCACACTGAAGAAGTGCTTCACAATTCTTTTCACTATAAAAATGAATTATTGTCTTCTTTGAAACCCATCTGTCAATTCTAAAATCCAGGCTTGGGGGGGGGGAACCCTTGTCCCCATACTACATTTCTTTCAATAAAAAGGCAAAGGGACCCCTGCCCATTATGTCCAGTCGTGACCAACTCTGGGGTTGCGGCGCTCTTCTCGCTCTATAGGCCAAGGGAGCCAGCGTACATGTTCCAGGTCATGTGGCCAGCATGACTAAGCCGCTTCTGGCGAACCAGAGCACTGCACCTAAACACCGTTTACCTTTCCGCCGGAGCGGTACCTATTTATCTACTTGCACTTTGACGTGCTTTCGAACTGCTAGGTGGGCAGGAACAGGGACCGAGCAATGGGAGCTGACCCCGTCGTGGGGATTCGAACCGCCGACCTTCTGATCGGCAAATCCTAGGCTCTGTGGTTTAACCCACAGCGCCACCCGCATCCCTTTCTCTCAATATCCACTGCCTAATAGCTTTCCCATCTAGACTCCTCCTGTATAATACAGGCAAAGGACAGAAAACCACAACTATGTCATTTATAGTTGCCAGAATTCTTTAAGCTTTTTGCTACGCCATATTTTCCAAAACCCACTGAAATCAACAGCATAATCTGCATGCCTTTTAATGAAGTTGGATGGTGCCCTTTATTACTAGTCATAATATCAGAACCAGGAATTTTTTTAAGGGGCAGCCAAACTCAGAATGGGAAGTTAGAGGGAGGGAAATGGGCAGTTCAAAAATTCAAGTCGTGTAGACGCTATTTTATGTTAAGTGATGCAAAAAGTGTCAACAATATGAAAAGTAAATTAAGTAGTCCAGTCTCCCCTAGGACTCCAGACGCTGATCAGGCATACCAATTTTTCCTCTCCCTGCCAAAGGCAGTGTCCATATAATCCAATCCTTCTCTCCATAGAGTATTCCTGATATGAAAGCAATCCTTCTGCATTAGAGCTGTCAAAATCCAAGTTTGGATAATTTTCTCCCAATTATTACGGAGGAAAGCATGTGTGTGCACACAAGGAAAATACACGGGTGGGTTGTAGTGACACATGCTTTGCCTGCAAATTATAATCACATACCTCTGGGCGGTTCTAAATTTTCCTTTTAAAAAGCTCTGCCTTGAACTGATCGGAAAGTAGAGAGGAGTTAAGGCTGTAAACAGAACTTTAATAAATGTAGTCAGCAGATACTACTTCTGTCTGCTTTAATGTTAGCTAATACCCCTACTGCTGTGATTTAGAAGAACTGGGGCAGCAGGAAGCATTTAATTTACAGGAGCCTCTTGTAGTTATTGCAAGTATGGCTGTCAGCATACCAAGCAAACATTTTGTACACCATTAAAAGAACCTAACAACACACTTTTATTTTGGGAAGACGGGGAAAATCAAAACTCTCATGCTAGCTAGCAGAATTTAAAGTTCTCTTGAATGTAGAATATCCTAAACAATCAATATAATGTAATTTCTCACGGTAATAGAATGCCTTGCATACGTGGGTTATTTCAATCATCATGCCCTACAAAGCTTTACTCCCCTCAGTCACTATTGTTTACACTTTATACATATTTAAAAGGTATTTAGAAGTCAATACATGGCTGTTTTAGACTATCAAGCCATTACATGATCATCATTATCGCTGTGTAAAATGGCTATGTGAATCCACTAGGAAATCCAGCTGGTTTGCAATAATATATGAACTTGCACCTAAGCCAATTTAGACTCACATGGTAGAATGAAATCAAGACTGAAAGGTACCTTTACACTATCCAGAATGTACAAATTGACAACTTTCAAAATGTTGCATATATCTCAGAATGTTCATGATTATAATAGTTTGCAACATGTTTCCCAATGTTTTATGCACGTAGAACTGGAAGGAAACTCACTTATAAAACATGAGGTATATCCTTTGCTTGAGAAATAGTATTCCTGCCTAAAATTTCCCTGACAGATTCCAGATACAGGATTTTCTGAAAGGATCTGAGAAAAGAAATTCAGCTTCATTCCTGGGCAGCTTGTTTGATTGTTAATCATTTATTAAAGTTATGATGCTTTCCTAAGAGTTTAACATATCTATAGTTTATGTTACCTGTGTGTTTTATCTATATGTCACAATTCCACCTCTGAACCATTTGTCAATTGTCAATATACTACCTAAATTCTGGCAGCTAAAAAGTGAACATAGCATTATTAAATCAGTATTTTAAACCTGTTCTGAATAGACAGCTTCTCTTTCACTTTCTCTCTTTCTCCGATTTTTATTTTTATTTTTATTTTTTTTGCTATCAGGCTGCTCATAATATAACCCGATAGCACTATATTTGTGTGCCACAAATACAACATTGCTGAATCATGTTCAGTTTGCTATTACCTGCACGCAATCACAGCAATGCTGCTGTTGACTATCTTTCACCTTGTACACGTGATTTCTCCTCCCTCTTTTCTTTTATCTCTGTCACCTGCATCTTTGTTAAAAATTCTGCCATCAGAAGAACAGTTAATATCTGGTCTTTGATACCGAGCAGAGAAGAATAGGCAGAAGATATGCAACTGTGCATGTTTTACTTTAAAAGAGATGGGTTGTATTTTTAAAATAATGTCTAGCAATACATGCTGTGATCTGTATGTTTCCATAGCTGGTAACAGATGTAATAGCCTGGGAGCTTATTACGAAGGGCCTGCCTTGCAGTATGGATCTCATATTCCTTAGATACATTAGGCAGCAACTGCACAATAAGGTTAAAATTGAACTTGTCAGCACTGAAATGGCTTGGATTTGCAGCAACTCAGAGGGCGTATTAGAGAATTTGCATTGAGCTGACAATGGAGTGAAATGTAAACATGATCATGGTTAAACTTTGGGATTGGGGGAAATCCTGTATAAGCAGTCTACAGGCTGGCAAACAACCTCACCTTGCCAAGTGTACTGCTCTTAAAGGTAAAGGTAAAGGTACCCCTGCCCGTACGGGCCAGTCTTGACAGACTCTAGGGTTGTGCGCCCATCTCACTCAAGAGGCCGGGGGCCAGCGCTGTCCGGAGACACTTCCGGGTCATGTGGCCAGCGTGACAAAGCTGCATCTGGCGAGCCAGAGCAGCACACGGAAACGCCGTTTACCTTCCCGCCAGTAAGCGGTCCCTATTTATCTACTTGCACCCGGGGGTGCTTTCGAACTGCTAGGTTGGCAGGCGCTGGGACCGAGCAGCGGGAGCGCACCCCGCCGCGGGGATTCGAACCGCCGACCAATTGAACACAGCTTTATAATAAAAGTCTCGAGTGATGCAACAGCAGCTATTCCTTTCCCCGCTCCCTTTCAATAACATTGTTCCTTGACCCAACTGAAGATGTGCCAGTTCAACAGGGACCAAAGATAATAAATGAAATTTAGTAATTAATGCTTACATGGGAGTAGCTAGGATTTATGTTAGGGGGGCAGAACCTCAGTTAGTTAAGTATTTTTATTGATTTACTTGGTTTAGGGGAGGGCAGCTGTCACTCTGCCCCACCTTAGCTACAACCACGGATGCTTAGATATTGGTATGTCACGCCTCCTAATTTGAAGTACAATATTAGAAAGCATTCTCTGAACTTTGTAGAAAGCCAGCTTTATAATCAAATCTGACTGCAAAGCCCCTTTAGCCCGACACATTTACTTTAACTGTTTCGTATTATTTGAGAGGTCCCCTATAAGGCCCTGGTCCCTGATTCAGGTCAATCACTTATCTGATCCACTAAGGCAAGCATAGGCAAACTTGGCCCTCCAGATGTTTTGGGACTACAACTCCCATCATCCCTGACCACTGGTCCTGTTAGCCAGGGATGATGGGAGTTGTAGTCACTCATCTTTTATAAGTTTGATTTAGCAATCATATCATTTTAAATCAAGCTGTGACTGCAAAACAGTTCAGGTGTATCAAGATGGAAATACTCTTTAAACTGTGAGTCCTTCCCCAGCCATTGGCTGAGCTGCTGTGATTCCATGGAATATTCAAGTCCATTTTAATTTCTGTGTGCAAAATACTTACTCTTCGGCTGTGGACTTAAGCTAGTTTACTCTGCATCCAGCGCCCTCTCACACATGACGTTAGCCACAATCCATATCTATCCTGCCATTTCTTACGAAAAACTGCATTTTGATGCATTTCCCCCAAACCAGTTTCAATCTGAATTGACTAAAAGGGTGACCTAGCTGTGTTTTATGTTGATACAGTGGTACCTCGGGTTACATACGTTTCAGGTTACATACGCTTCAGGTTACACACTCTGCTAACCCAGAAATAGTGCTTCAGGTTAAGAACTTTGCTTCAGGATAAGAACAGAAATTGGGCTCCGGCGGGGGGGCGGCAGCAGGAGACCGGATTAGCTAAAGTGGTGCTTCAGGTTAAGAACAGTTTCAGGTTAAGAATGGACCTCCGGAACGAATTAAGTACTTAACCCGAGGTACCACTGTATTTGTTTACTCTGAATTATGACAAAGAAAGAATGCAGCTTCTGTGAAAGGAAGTGAAAAGTCTGTCTGAGAGGATAGCGGGGGTGGGGTGAGGGGAACAAAACACACACAGCTCTAAGAGTCGAGAGAGGTTGTACACTGTAGGTAGAATATAGAGGCAGAGGTGACGTTTCTGTATTGGCAAGTGCCAAAGAATAGGATGATGAAAGGCAAGGGGACATTGGAGATGAGGGCTATGGAGGTGGACAAGGTAGCCAACAAAGGATGGAAAGAGTATGTGATGGATTTTGAAGCAAAGATCTGATTAAAGGACCTATGAAAGAGAAAGGACAGCAAACAATGGAAAATGGAAACAGGACCAATATTTCCCCCCCCCGTATAATTATATGCTGTTAAGAAGGAAGGGGACCAAGGGACACAGAAATCAGACAAATGAGACGGGCAGCAGAGGCCAGGAAGAGAGGGAGAAGGACTGAAGCTGTGATCCTAAATTCCCTTAACTGGCAGCATTTACCATTCCCCATTGAACATCACATTGATCAACAGCCAATTAAATATACTGTATGTCTCAAAGTTAGAAAATGCCAATTTAAAAAAACAATTACATTTCTACAGCCCAGTTCTATACATACAGTAAAGGTAAAGGTAAAGGGACCCCTGACGATTAGGTCCAGTCGTGGCTGACTCTGGGGTTGCGGCGCTCATCTCGCTTTATTGGCTGAGGGAGCTAGTGTACAGTTTCCGGGTCATGTGGCCAGCATGACTAAGCCGCTTCTGGCGAACCAGAGCAGCGCATGGAAATGCCATTTACCTTCCCACCTATTTATCTACTTGCACTTTGGCGTGCTTTCAAACTGCTAGGTTGGCAGGAGCAGGGACCAAGCAATGGGAGCTCACCCCGTCACGGGGTGATTCAAACCGCCGACCTTCTCATCGGTAAGTCCTAGGCTCGAAGGTTTAACCCACAGCGCCACCCGTGTCCCTATACATACAGTATCTACACCGAAAAAAGTGTAACTTAGTTCCGTGGCACACAGGATTGCACCCTTGCTTAACCATTTTTATTTGCAAACAATGTGAAAATGTTACTGTCTATGTACAGTTTCTTTCCGTATAACCACACATATATGGCTGACATAATATTATATTTCAGAAACAAGCACAAGTTTTCACAGTGAAAGGTGCATGTCCTGTATCCTCCTTAGATATGAATAAATTCTTTGAAAATATGGCTGTCCTGATTTAATATATTGTTACACATTTATACAAACCTAGATTTTCATCTGACAATACATCTTCTGAGCCCACTATTTCAAATGAACTTCTTAATGTTATTTTCCTAAAAAACACACACAGAGAGAGGAAGTTGATGTATTTGTTGTGAATATCTAATCAAGAAGAATCAGATAATATTTGAAACATATACTTCTATATGCAGAAAGCATTCTCTTCCAAATCCTGCCTTTATACAAGAAGAATATTGCTAGGTATTTGTGAAAAGCACCTCATCTTCAAAACCTTTTCGGTTACTACTTGTAGGCATAATTTATCACAAACCACTTGATCATTTATTAATAGGATTATGTCCCTTTGGTGTCCCCTTGATAAGAGGAAATGTTAGAAGGGGCAATTTTTATCTATAGCTGTATTGAGCTAAATCTTCAAACAATAATTGCAGGCTAAATTTTAGTCACTGTTTTTAGTCATTTTGTATCCACTAATCAGATAGATAAATAGTCCAAATTATGTGTGAAAGTGACCGTCTGCTCTAACTAAACAAAAATAAAAGCTTGTAAGAGACAAGTTGAATGTTTAATCTATAAGCATGAATATTAAATATTATAGGGCTTGATCCTAAATGGGGTGAGAGTGGGAATCTGAAGGAAATTTAACGGCCCACTCAGAACCTCAGAAGTGAGGTTGAAGAAACACTCTTTTGCTCCTTCATCTGTTTTGAAGTTTCCTGCTTTGTAAAAGTTTTCTCTCTACTGAAAACAACCCCCCCCCCCGGAAAGAATAGGGAAGTATTTTGTTACCCTAGCACAACAAATCCACTTTTAAAATACTGGACTTTTGTCGTCTTGAATATGAAGGGGAAATGCGATGAACATAACAGGAAGACGTATAAGCACCCCACCAGCAAATCATGATGTATGATCAAATTCATATATCCACCTTGCAAACAAATCAGAAGGGATGCTCAGTAGAGACTGAACATGGTCTAACCACCACATAAGCTTTGTGCAAGCAAATCAGAATGAATGCCAAGTGCCAACAAGTGCAAAAACCGTTTCCCTCAGCATCATGGGAGCCACCAGGGCATTTTTCTCAGCCGGAGAATGGTACATCTCAGGTAGGCACCATTGCCAATATAAGAGAAGGAGGAGTTCATGGTGAGTTCCAACTCCTCTTTTTCTAGAAAAATCACACTGGGAACCACCATCTTATAACAACACAACTTGGCCCAGTAATCGTAGTGTTAATAGGCTGCCAAAGGGATGGTTTAAAAAAGTAACCAAATAAAGTCAAACTAACCCAATGCTTACCTTTTCTTTCTTCCAATTGTGGAGCTACTTTCCCTTCCACAAGTTTTTGTCCAGGTTCTTGTCTAAGAAACATAACAAAAAAAACATACTTTGAAGCTTTCCATATTAAATATTTTTATTTAACATGATGTTATGTTTGCTGCTGGGATCAGTATGCTTGTGCTAAACTTCCCTCGTACACCCTAGTCGTGTTGTTTCAATAGGATTCAAAATGTGAGCCACGGCCAACCTGGTCATTTTCCCCATCTTCACCAGGAGCCATCACAGACAACGACTGGGGACTGAGAATCTTTCCGTTTGGGTAGCGCAACTCACATAGGGAGTTTTACTAGTTGAAACAGCTGGCTGGGGAAAATTCACCAACGCATGGTGGTGTTTGACAATACCTTTGTTGAAGGTTTAGTTCAGCTCTTTAAGGTAAAGGTACCCCTGCCCGTCTCACTTAAGAGGCCGGGGGCCAGTGCTGTCCAGAGACACTTCCGGGTCACGTGGCCAGCGTGACAAAGCTGCATCTGGTGAGCCAGCGCAGCACACGGAAACGCCGTTTACCTTCCCGCCAGTAAGCGGTCCCTATTTATCTACTTGCACCCGGGGTTGCTTTTGAACTGCTAGGTTGGCAGGCGCTGGGACCGAGCAACGGGAGCGCACCCCGCCGCGGGGATTCGAACCGCCGACCTTTCGATCAGCAAGCCCTAGGCGCTGAGGCTTTTACCCACAGCGCCACCCGCGTCCCAGTTCAGCTCTTTACTCTTTCTGAAAAAGCGAAGCTGATTCTCCTCTACGTCAAAAACAGTTGTGTCCAATATTTTATTAGAATTCACAAACTCATAAAATCACTGCTCCCCACCCCGCTCCAGTCCACTTCACTCCCATCACATATTTCAGTCGACACCTGTCCAAAATGTATGCTGGTTACCAATTTGTATAATGTCAAAAAGTGTTACCATGGTAAGGTGACAGAGGTGTTCTGTTGTTTCATTTCTAAGTGAGATTCTATATTTAAATTCTCTCTATATTTATCTCTTTATTCTCTATATTTATCTCTTTACACACTCATCCCCTTCCCCAAAACTGTTCACTTAAAATTTTGATTAAGCATAATACACAGAGAAAATAGGAAAATGTATGAACTAATGGCACCAACCTCAAATTCAAGCAGATTTTAAATAAGCTAAGGAGAATACTGTATCTCAAACAAGGTTGCAAAAAAATAAAAATAAAAAATCCAGGTATGAGATCGGTGAAAATGAAACAACTGTGTCCGACAGGTTATTATTATTATTATTTATTGTGTTTATACACTAACCTTCGCCTGGAGGATTCCAGGGCGGTGCACAGCATAATAAAAACAACCATTTACACAGAATAATTTAAACGTCTAAAAGCTACAAAACTAAAAACAACATTAAAGCACAACAGCACAATAATACTGCTAGATTTAAGGAAGATTTACCTCCCCAAAGCCTGGGGAAACTCGCATGCCTTCAGCTGATTTCTAAAAATTAATAGTGTGGGAGGCAACTGCACTTCCCTAGGAAGTGAATTCCACTATCAAGGAAATGCCACTGAGATAATGATAACAGCACCACAACCGCAGCAACAACAACAAGAAATTGAAGCTGAAAGTGTAACTTTAGTTTGCAAACGAGTAGGCTCCACCAATCCATTAAGAATGTAAGAATACATATTAAATCTTACATTTTTTCTGCAAGTGATCATGTTAGATTTGGTTTCGGCTTCTTTATTCTTTACTGCATCTATTAAAAAAAAAAACATTGGTAAATGAGCAAAAGCAATAACTGAGTAAAAATAGTTTACTGGCAAACAAAATTACTTTTCATAGTTATTCCAATCTGTTCTCTGATACATCAAGTTGTAATAACAAGATGTAGTACTGGTACAAAAAAATATTTTATTAAATATATAATTATATTATAACGGATTGCATGGTACCTTTCTGTACTGCTGTAACTACCTGCACAAGTTTTCCAAATATGCACCAAACACACAAATAGTTTAATCTGCTGTGGACATAACAGCAAACTCCTGGGGGCTGAGGTCCCTTTGCCCCCCCCCATGAAAGATTTCAGGGGGCTGAGCCCCCGTCCCAAGTTGAAGGGCATTGCCATTCAAATGGTGTGCATGTGCCACATCTTGTGATCAATTATGTGGCCCCCGCCTGTGGAATTGTTTTACACAGTGCTATCACCTCTGGTGGCACTGTGGGTTAAACCACAGAGCCTAGGACTTGCCGATCAGAAGGTCAGCGGTTCGAATCCCCGCGACGGGGTGAGTTCCCGTTGCTCGGTCCCTGCTCCTGCCAACCTAGCAGTTCGAAAGCACGTCAAAGTGCAAGTAGATAAATAGGTACCTCTCTGGCGGGAAGGTAAACGGCGTTTCCGTGCGCTCCTCTGGTTCGCCAGAAGCGGCTTAGTCATGCTGGCCACATGACCCGGAAGCTGTACGCAGGCTCCCTTGGCCAATAAAGCGAGATGAGCGCCGCAACCCCAGAGTCGGTCCTGACTGGACCTAATGGTCAGGGGTCCCTTTACCTTTATCACCTCTGGTGGTCGTGTTTTCCAGCAGTGGATGGTTTTGGGGGGCTGTGTTGCTCACCTGACCTCCATTTGCCTATGCTGCTGCTGCTTACTGGAAAGTAGAAGGGAAGCGGGGAGGTGGTGGGGAGGTTAGTGCCATGGAAGTGCACTGCCAGGAGTGCCAGAATGGCTCTGCCAGCGCCTTCGCACCATGCTGACCTCACTGCTGCCTCACCCCTCCTCCCAGTAAGCAGCACCAGCCTCACTATCTACAACTGATATGTTCTGGAGATGTCTACATTCAGGATTATGACACGGTCAACATGGATGAGATGTTGAGATGTTACAGGGAGGACCATGGCAGCAATCCAGCCACTCCTTGAAGAGACACATGTTGTGCAGAATCAACCCCCACATATCAAACGGGTGCATGTCATGAATGAGCACTCAAAGTAGAAGACAGATAAAAGAGCGAGGGTCACAAGCAATCCGCATGAAGCACTTATACATATAAAGCCTTAGTTTTCATTTAATAATTTGAAATCATTATATTACTGTATACCACAATTACTAGTACATTACAATTACTGTACTAGGGAAAGAATCCACTTTGCATACAAACAAACAATGAAGTCAATATATAGAGACAGAAAGGCAGATAACTGTACCCTTTTTTGAGAGGTAGCACATTTCAAGCCTTTGCTGAGCAGAACAGGCCAGCAATTTGTTTGCTTCTTCTAATGCACTTTCGTACCAGACTTTCGCCTTCTTGTATACATTTGCCTACAGAAAAACACACACATTATATTAGCTATCAAAGTATTAGTACTATGTTTCTGAAATTACAAATCCGTGCAAAAAAAAAATGCATGGACTCAGCTAGTCTTGGATGTATTACATACACCTGCAGTTGCAAATATATATAATTATATATTTATAAATCTAAGATTATGAACCCATTTTAATACCCCTCCCCCAAATGGAAACATCCATTTAAAAAAAATTAGCTATCCATATCAGTTTTTAGAACTTACATGAGGCAGAGACACACACAGCTGACCCATATTTGGCAGTTTTGGGTGACATTAAAGGACAGCAAGTTGTCTATTTCTCCCATTTAAACGAGGAAGAGGATTATTTGATTTTGTCTCATAGATCAAAATGTATTTGCCTCATCCTGAGTTAGGTCCTGTTGGTAGAGTTTTGAACTCTTCATTTTTGGGAGCTTATAAATGAATGTAAATCCAGACACCTGCCTTGACTACACTGTGAAATCCAGTATCAACTACATATGCAATCAATCATTTTAAAAAATCCCATGTCATTTACAACTTTATAATTTAAACATGGGCATTTGAAATAACATATTAACAGTGAAATTCTATACAAGTCTACTCAGAAGAAAGCCGTATTGAGTTCAAATAGTTGTACTGTAGATATGACTTCAGCCCAAACCAATAAAAATATGCTGTTTTACTAAGTTTTGTACTAACTATAATTAGGTCTTTGAGAATTATTTTGCTTTGAGTGGAAAGTGAAATAAAGTGAAAGTGAAGTAAAAAGAAAGCTGTTTTGAGGACTTCCGGTGTGATGAAGCACTGGTGAGAAAGAAGACTCCTGTATTAATGAAAAAAGGAATACAGCATAGTTTAGACAAAAGGAAACTGTAGTTTACAGTGAACTAGAAGCTGAACTGTAGAAGCCACGCAATTTTTCACATAGTCTTGAACATGCCCAGTTCTGCTATGTACAGAGCCATTTATTGGTATCTAAACTATGTGTCATAACCATTTCAGTTGTTATGCAATCTCTCTTGTAGGCTTAAGGCACAATAGTTAGCAAAACTATGAGCATGACCTGGAACCTTTGAAACAATGAACTTCAACGCAGTACTTGCTGATCAAACAATATATTGCAACTTGGTAATGCTGTTTGTTAGCATTTGCATTTACTGAACTGAAATCAAAGTTGGGAGAAAAAAAAGAAGTCTTTAGAGGCAAAGATGAAAGGCTCCTATTCTTAATTTATACAATCCCAAAATATAGGCTATATGATTAAAGAGATTTAAGTTTAGAGGGTTACCTTAATATTATAGAAAACAAATCTAACAGAAATGCCTTTAGCTTGTTGCTAGGCACCAGTAACTAAACTCAACATCTAATCCCTGCTTATGCAGAAATTGTAAATTGCATTCTCCTTGATAATAAAGAGAACTGATTAGAAGTTATTAATATTTTCTTTCTTTTTACCATCATCTTGTCAACAGTCAGTCTATTTTTTGAAGCACGGCTTGTTGGATTAGTTTCCTACAGGAAGATACAGTTTGTGTAGGGGAGCGTGGAATCTCAATCTAGTCCTCTATAGACAAAAGGCTGCTTTCACCAATGTTATCTCTTCAGAAAAGGGAAGGAAACAGTTTCTGCATGCTTTCTTGACTATTGTCTTGGGCCCTGCTCTTCTTTAGTTCCAGGGCTGCTCCTACCATTAAACAGAGTGAGACAGCTGCCTCAGGTGGCTAATGTCAGAGATGGGAATTGCACCTCTTAAGTTATTCTGTTGCCCTCAGGTAGGGGAGAGGATGTGGTCCTTTCACCAAGTAAGATCTGGCTTTTGCATTTGGAACAGGGAGCGTGCCATCTTGACCTTTTCCTCAAGCAGCAAAATAGCTTGTGTTGGCTCTGCTCAGTTCTGATCTATGCTATACCCATGTGGTACTATGAGTTATGAAACCTGTACAACATAATTTTCTTCAACTAACACCCCTTCAGTTACTAGTTATCTGAGTCCAAAGTGCAGATAAATGAAAATATTTTGATTTTTCCTGTGTTTTATTTATTGAGATCACGTAGGTAAGGTGAACATAAGTTGCAGGCTTACTGTACTACCTTTGACCAGGAATATCTGCCCTATCAATTATTTAGTTATTTATATACTATATTTATACAGATGCCCCATATGTTCTCTGGAACCCCCACAAAGCAAAGAAACAAACCATACCGCTCATATTCCAGTGAATGTGGATTTATAAAAAGAAACACATTTTATATCCGGGAAAATGGAGTAAAGGAAGCAAGCAAATTATTTATGTATACTGTACATCTTGCAGTTAATGCATAAAAGCAGCCTAAGAAACACTTTAGAGTTCTAGTTCAAAGCTGAGATAATAAAGCACTCAACTATAGTACCCTCATGGGTTTATGGATCAGCTCCTAATACACAAGGTCACTTTGAACCTTTCAAAAAATAATAATTCATTTTCCTACCTATCAAAAATGCTGGCATCTCTTTCTCTTATACAAGCTGACTCGCCTGTCTTGGGTATACCCCTTTCACAATAGGCTTGTCCCTTTATCCAGATCTTGTGTACTCCTTTAAAATACAAATGCGCTACCAAGCAGAGTAAAATGGCTAAAAGCAATACTATTTTTCTAGAGAAAGAGGTGCTGGAACTGAGTTCTGGTGAGTTTGGACTGGGGGGGGGGAGCCCTGGCTAAAAGTGTTTGTTATTGAAACATTTAAGATTGCACTGCCTTGTAGACATATGGTCCTGGGCTTCCTGTTTCTCTTCTGACAGCCTTCAAACTTCTAGGTCCATGCAAGGATGATCTAAGGTATCTATACAACTGCCAGTATTGGGAGAATTAGTGTGCACAGTGACATTCTAAATCAAAACCAAAAAACATTTACGAAAGGATTTTCGCCTCAACCATTGCAAGTAAAGCTTCCAATCAATGCTCTCATAGAGCCTAGACCAAGTTCTCAAACTTGGGGGGGGGCATTGCCCCCTTGGTTCCATGAGCTACTCCCCAGTGCCCCCTACTCTGTAAAAAAAGAATATTATTCTAAATAGTGGTTTCCAAGATCCACTGAGGAACATCACACAATAAAATTCAACACAGTAAAAAATTAATTGCACACTTATGCAAAACCTAATTAAAACTAGTTTAATTTTCTCACAAACTTGATCCGGCAATACCAGCTTTTCAAACTGTTATAGTCATTTACACCTCCAGCTGCTGCCCCCATGCCTCTAAGTGCCCTCCTAGGTAATCCCACCAACCTGCAGAGGGTGGCACCCGCCTCCTTTGGGAACCACTGGCTTCAATTTTTAAAAGTCAAAATACAAATGGAAACATGTTTTGAAAAGTCAAAATACTTTTGAAGCATGTCATTTTTCAACACTTAGGCTGTGTATACACTCCCATTTACTCTGCACCCAAGGCACTCCGTGTCAGGAATGCGTGCAGGAGCCAGGCCCTGTGATCGGTAGGGCTTCGCAGGACTAGGGCTTTCCATATATATATGGAAAGCCCTAGTCCTGCCTGGAAACGATGCCTTATGAGGAACGGCTAAGGGAGCTGGGCATGTTTAGCCTGGAGAAGAGGAGGTTAAGGGGTGATATGATAGTCATGTTCAAATATATAAAAGGATGTCACATAGAGGAGGGAGAAAGGTTGTTTTCTGCTGCTCCAGAGAAGCGGACACGGAGCAATGGATCCAAACTACAAGAAAGAAGATTCCACCTAAACATTAGGAAGAACTTCCTGACAGTAAGAGCTGTTCGACAGTGGAATTTGCTGGCAAGGAGTGTGGTGGAGTCTCCTTCTTTGGAGGTCTTTAAGCAGAGGCTTGACAACCATATGTCAGGAGTGCTCTGATGGTGTTTCCTGCTTGGCAGGGAGTTGGACTCGATGGCCCTTGTGGTCTCTTCCAACTCTATGATTCTATGATATATATACACACACACACATATATATATATAATTTTTATTGGTTTTTTAAACATATCATTTTCAACAGTAATTAAACATACTTTTACATCTTATTCAAATTTTTGACTTCCATCAATCCTGTCTGAAAATTTTCCAATCTAATCTCTCAGTATGCATTTCTTATCTTCCCTATTACATTTCAAACTCATAATCAATATCTCTATCTTTTTCTACTTTGTAACACTTCGTATATTTCTCCTTACAAAACTTCTTGTAGTCCTACTAGTGTAATTTGTTGATTACAGTTGCTCTTCAAATAATTCATATACTTTTTCCAACCTTCTGTAAATCTCTGGTCCCGCAGGTTTCGAATCCTTCCTGTCATTTTGGCCAATTCTGCATAGTCCATTAATTTCACCTGCCAATCTTCTTACGTCGGAATTTCTTCTTGTTTCCATTTCTGGGCTAACAATACTCTTGCCGCAAGGGCTAGGGCTTTCCTAAGTTTCTTCTCAAGAGGCAAGGCGCGGCCGCACAGGTGAGGCCGATTGGTAACTCACAGCACCTGGTCGCAAGAGCTGAGAAGGGATATAATGTCAGCATTTCCCTTTGGCACTTTGCCACAGCAACACGCTTCCTGCCTTGGGCTTCTTGACTCCTTGCTTCCTGACCCTCGGACCCTTGGCTTCTTGACTCCTTGCTTCTTGATCCTCAGACCCTTGGCTTCGTGACTCCTTGCATCCTGACCCTCGGACCCTTGGCTTCGTGACTCCCGGCTCTCTGGCCCTTGGCTTCCTGACTCCTGGCTTCTGGACTCTCGTTCCTGCTCCCACCCCGCCGTCTTGCCCCCAGTCCCGACGTCTTCTGCCAGGACTTTGACCGCCCGTAAACCGGACCGTGACACTCCAACTGATAGTTTGGGAAGTGGTTTACCCACAACATTAGACATGATCTGGTGGCGGTGTTTTTTTAATGAATTACTGTTCTGATGTGTTTTTCTCCAGCCCAGCTTCAATCCAAATTGAGAAAAATAACAACCTGGTTGCATTTTACACCAGTAATGTGCTGTCAT